GTCACAGAAAATGAGGTATACGAAGGTTAAACCGAGCCTAAATATCAAATAACGTGCAACGCTGTTGTTTCTCCCACTGACTTTGGTAGAAGAAATCATGAGTTGCATATCTAAACATCATCCTGGGCATTGTTCCTGAAAGGAGGCTGGAATGTGGGACAGGGAAATGACAGTCAATTTGGGATTGCAGCATATGTAGGAGGCTGAGGCTAGGGGTTTTCTCTTCCATGTGTTATTGAGGAGAGTTCGTCTATCAAGAGCAAAGGAACAGGAAGTCAAATACACTCCAGCAGCCCATGGCAGTTTTACAAAGGCAACAATATGAGGTGTGTTTTCAGGGCTGTCTTGTGCAGCACTGAGTCACCAAGTTGGTAAAGACGTTTAGCTATTGACACAGCATCAGCATCTCAAAGTGACTTTATTGTTTGCTTACTTCTATTGTGGATATAGTAACTCTTGGCGAGTGATAACTTACTTCTTTGGGGGGAAAATGCCTCCCCAAAGAACACCAACTGTTAGCGTGGTGATGAAAAGGAAGAAAACATGAAAAGGTCCAAGAAGTAATCATATTAACGTCAAAAGTCAGAAGCTTGATGAACAGATACATGTGGATAATTATACACTATGGTGGTAGTTTCATAATTATGGAATTGCAAGGTTCTCAGGAACATAAAGGATCATCTCACAGGATTCTAAACGTACATTATTTCATTCACTGTTTACAAGCATTTGTGAAGTGCTTCCCAGCTTTTCTATTTAGAGTCGCCATAATTAGTGCTTTCTGCTGGCTTAAACAAAGAAAAAAAAAAAAACGCTTCTAAGGAGGCAGCCATTAGATTGTACACACACCTGGGTAGCTTGCCGTGGCAGAAATGTCACAGGCTGGCCAACTGGAAGGGATCTTAGAGACCATCTAAGCCAGAACCAACACCTTTGTTTTACAAAAAAGACAACCGAGGCTTCAAAAGACTAAGCAACGTACCCAAGATGATGCAACTAGTTAGTACCACAGCCTAACTCCTAAATTTAGTGCCAACAAAACACAACTCGAATATAGGAGCCTAAGGAAAACATTTTTTGTTGCAATTATTCAAAAAAATAATTTAAAAAATTGGAGAGAAAGAGAAGAGAGAGAGACAGAGAAACACTGACTTGTTGCTCCACTCACCCTACACTCATTAGAAGACTCCTGTATATGCTCTGACCGGGATCGACCCTGCAACCTTGACATAAGAGGACGATGCTCTAACCAACTAAGCTATTTGACCAAAGCTTGTTGCAGTTATTTTTAAAGATTCCTTCTCTTTAATGGCCAAGGGTAAAATGATCTAATCAGAAAAGGGGAAAAAAGTCAATGAAAGTATAATTCTTATCATGCTTTCCAGACCTCATGCTGAAGTACTGTGGACTCAGCAGCATTTGATAAAAATATTACTTCATTAGCAAAGCCCATATCTATTTAATGCGGGGGTGTGCATTCATGCCTTGTTGCTTGATCGGAGTGATTTGTGAACAAGACTCAGATGGACATCTGCTTATCTTGGCAACTGTCAGTCACCTATGTCCTTCTGAACCACATTCTGTTTTTTGTGTTTTTTTTGTTGTTGTTTTTTTTACAATTAAAAGTGTACTGCCCTGAAGTGACCATCATTCTTTTAAAGAGCAAAGATTTTTAAATATAAGGAGGAAATGTAATCCTTTCTGTTCTCTTACAGGATCTACAGCAGGAAATAAGTGAAGTCCTGATTCTTTCTACCTCTCCTAATTTTTTAATACAGCACAGAGAAGGCTCAGATCCATCTTTGGATCCTTTGGTGAATAACTGAACAAATGAGATTTTGAAAGGCTAGCCATCAACAAATACCAGCTTTAACAAGATGTGATATAGGATCGATATTCAAGAACTTCTAAATATGGATGTCAAACACACAGGAAGACAGGGAGAGAGAAATCTATCTTATTTTTCTGGATTTTTATTTCACTATATTTTACTTGTTAGGCCAGAAATTAATCAAAACAATATGTTTTGCTGGGAGATAAAGAGGCTTTGTTTACACTGTTCGAGATGCAGCAATGTGAAGCTAGACATATAGACACAGTGCACAGGTCAGTGTGTGGGTTGAAAGATCAGAAGGAAGGCCAGGTTCATGGTACGGGCCTGAGATCTCAGAGATCGAATTATGTTAGAGATGGAGACTTTGGATAGTATCTCATTCCCCAAATGAGGAAAATTTTGCAGACGAGGAAGTGGAATGGTTAAGTGCCAATGCGAGGTGATACAGATAGGATGGGTCAATGCTCTCTGGCCTGCGGTCATTCAGGGTGAAAGGTGTGAGGGACAGAGCCCAGGGTAAGAGCCAAGGTTGAGGATGGATCTCAGGGACAGAAGAGAAGATCTAGGACCTACAGGGTGCTAGAGCTTCCAGAAAGAACACACTAGAAAGAAGGATTTAAGGTCAAATGCTGCAGAAAAGGACCAGTAACAAGCAAAAGCCATGGGATTTTTCAGTTAAGGAATCACTGGTGATTTTTTTTTTTAAGTGTCTTAGCTCAGGTTACTGTAACAAAATACCATAGCTGGCTAGCTTAAACAACAGGAATTTATTTTCTTAGATTTCTAGAGACTAGAAGTCCAAGTCAAAGTGCCAGCATGGACAGTTTCTGGTCAGGGCTCTCTTCCTGGCTTGCAGATGGCTGTCTTCTTATTGTGTCCACACATTGGCAGGGAGGGGTGGGGTTGAGGACAGGGAGGGATGAAGTGAGGGTGAGATTGTTTTCTCTAGTGTGTCTTCTTCTTATAAAGTTGCTCAATCTTATAAAGTTCCCATCAAATAGGCCCCATCCTCATGACCTCATCTAAACTGAATTATATCCCAAAGGTCCCATCTCTAAATACCACCACATGAAGGGTTAGGACTGTAATATATGAATTTTGGCGGGAACACAATTCAGTCCATAGCTAAAGGAGTTTTGGCAAACCTTTTGGATTAGAAGCCAGAGAGCTTGCTTCAGCTCTCTCCCTGCCAGGTGAGGACACAGTGAGAAGGCCACCTTTCCCAAATGAGGAAGACAGCCCTCACCCTCACTGGGAACTGAACTGGCTGGCACCTTAATCTTGTCCTTCCCAAGCTCCAGAACTGTGAGAAATAAATTCCACAGTTGGTTAGGCCATCAAATCTGTGGTATTTTGTTACAGTAGCCTGAGCTGACTAATAATATACCTTTGTAAATCCCCACTCTGACTGCTTAAGTGTGGATATATCATATTTTACATAAACTATTCCCCTATTAATAATTTTCAGCTTTTCCAATAAATTCCTAAGTCAGACCCAGATTGAAGTGAAGGCAAGTCTGTAAGGTACCAGCATTGTACGTGACTATAATGATAATCAAATCTCTAGACCCTGGATATGCTAGGGAACTTAGAGTTTGTCCAAGTGTCTGGCTGCTACTGTACTGAACCTATCATAGAATCTCAGGACCTGAGGGCAAATGAATTTCCTGGTGTGCTGGGGGCTGGGGCGATGCCTTAGCCACTGGAGTTCAGAGGACAAGAAGAGCCTTGTCTTACTGGCCCACATGTCCGAATGTCTTCCAGCCCTTCAGGGAGGCCCCGCAAGGAGGGGTCAGCTCATTTACATAATGAAAACTGGCAGCATTTAATGCGACATCTGCACAGATGCAATTTCCCTTTAAATAAGAGGCACTAATAAATGTTTATGGTCTAGAAGCTCACTGCATTTTTACATGGAACACTTTGGCCACTATGTTCAATTTAAACGTCTGAAATTGCGTTTTCCAGGTGATGTGTGATGCATTTTTTTCACAACTCACTGAGCCCATTTGCCTTCATCTTCAAGTGTTGAAAGTGCAACATGTTTTAATGAGAATTACACATCTGCCAATTTACTCTGTCAGCCTCCTTTAAATCTGCTATAATCGTTTCTCTGGGCTGAAAAATTCCTCTCTGCTCAGGCATTGCTAACCTGCAATCACTCCGAAGGCCAGGATTCAATTTAAAAGTCTGGAGTTCTAAATTAGAATATGAAATTTATTATGTGGCTCCAGTTCAGTGTCAAGTTTTCCACGATTTTGCCCAGGAAACACAGGCCCATCAGTGCCCTCATCAAGTAGCCCTGTCATTACTCCGACTCCCAGAGTTGGAACAAAATGCATCCAAGTTTCTTCTAACGCAGGACTTTGAGAGGGAGAGTTTAAAGTAGCTGCCTCTAAAACTCTCATAAATGTGGCTTGTGCAAACATTCAGCAAACAAAGCTCTCTTTCTCCATAAAGACACGGGCCAACCATTTGCTTTCTTCAGGGCTGTTTCCTGCGCACAGGCAGGAAGATAACAGTTCTCATCCTTGGCTCAGTACATCACCTAAAGCGAACCTCTCCCCTTGAACAGCAGGGCAGACACCACGGGCTGTGTGTAGGAGACTCGGGGGCCAACTGATTGCCAAGCAAGGAAGACACAGTCCCTTCATATTAAGCCCTCACTTTTTCACTAGTAAAGGATCAAATCTTGTCCCCACCTTAGGAGTCTATATGAGGCTAAGCCAATGTTGGTAAATCAACTGGAGGTAAGCTCAAAATATTAGGTTATCTAGAAGCCTATGTTGTAAGCCTCACTCTGAAATCTCTCAAAATCCCCATGGAGGTCCACAGTTTACAGATGGGGAGCAGACTTGGTGTGCTAGGGATACTGGTCTCTCAGGAAGAGGGGCTCCATTTAGAACTTGTTATAAGCATCTCATTCAACTTCTGATTCCACACCCTTATCAAGAAACAGAGGATTCCAACCGCCACCCTTAAGCAGAACAGAATAATAAGGGGGAAGTGCGTGGCTAACAACGCAAAGAGAAACTACTTTATCAACTGTCTGTAAAAGTCTTAATTACAAATAAGACATCGTTGTAATTCACAGGGATGACTTCAACTCCAAGACCCAGGCTACAGTCCAGAGTGGCAGAGAGAAATCATGACCGGAGGCTGCTACCTGATGGTGGTGCCCTGCAAACGGTCTATCTTCTTGTTGAGCTCCGCAATGATGCTGTGGAGCTCCGTGATGCGCTCCTCGTATCGAAGCGTCGTCCGCTCCTGGACATCCTCATGCTCTCTCATGAGGTGGGACTGCTCACACTGGAATCAAGAGAACAAGAAAGAAATGGCAATGAATTGACATATCTATAGGCTAGTGATTGTAAGTTTTATAGCCTCAATTCATCACAACTTCAACAAAGAGCATGCCCAAGATAAAACATATGACTCTCACTGACCAGCAATCCCGAGAGACACATCAAAGTGCAATTTTACAACCAAAGAATCCTGAGTGGTATGACACCATTTCTTATTTGGCTGGTTCTCTGCAGGCCAGACTGGAAACTCCTGGAAGGCAGGGACTAGATGTTTCTGTGAAACAGCCGTGGCACCTGGCATACGGCCTGGGTCGCCGTGGAGATCAGGAAGTGTCATGGAATGAATAAACCACCATGTGTCACACTATTATGAAGGATGCTTTGCAGAAACAATGACAAAAGAGGCTGAGGAGCTTCCCTTGCTCACCATTTTTGGACTAAGAGGCAGCAGATGCTATAAAAAACATTTTTGTTGCCAGAGTTTAAATCCTAAGGAATCTATTCACCTCTTTCATTTCTCTCCCCATTCAGAACCCCCCACCAGTCACTGTGCATTTAATCTCATTTACATAATAATAGAACACTCATCAGTGATGGAACAAGGAGTCTAGCTTATGTTCCTATCTACTATGTTCAGCCCTGATTAATTTCCTGTCCAGTAGAGGAATTTTTATTTCATTTTCAGCAAGGTTTTCCTAAAGCCAAGAGCCATGTGTACTTGTCCACTTTGCACTTGCGGGGCTGGTGCAGGCAGGCAAGGGCAAGACTTCTCATCCACTACCTCCAATGTCCTCTCTCTTCCCTAAATCTGCTGAGCTCCCCATGGTGTGACGCAGAAGCTACTGGGCAGGGGTAAAAAGCTTTCAAAGACAAGTAGGACACTGCACTAAGTCCATCCCAATACTGAAACACAAGTGCTCAGCACAGGAGTCTGAGGTATACATTGGTATAAATTGTGGCAAGGACCACACTTCTGAAGAGGACCCTGAACAATGTCTTGGTCAGTACTAATGTGGAAACATCATGAGGGCTGCTCAGAGCTCCAGAAACAAGATCAGATGCAACAAGGTTGATGAACGCTCTATCACAGGTTTTTGTGAGAGTTACTCTCCGAGAAATTGTGATATGACTTTTGTTCTTAGAGACAACCTGAAACATCCAGTACTCTCCACTCAAAGTCAAACACACGGGAACTATGTGGAAGCACCGAGTGAAGCCATATCAACCTGGAAGCTTTCCTAAGCAAGATGAATCTACACCGGCCACACATACTCTTTCTACAAAGTTATGCCTTTTTCATCCACGACCCACCACACTTTAAAAGAAACAAGAAAAGTGCACAAAATGACATGTGTCAAAGACAGTATCTGTCAATACCCGAAAGAGCATATTTCTCTGGAATATACAAACAGCAGAATACTGTTCCTCTCCATCCAAGCAGAATATCTATGGGCTTTTGCTATTGGTCTTCACTCCTATCTTTAAAGTGTGTGTGTGTGTGTGTGTATCCATGTGTGTATAGTATGTACATGTGCATATGCAGCTCACCCTTATATGAAGGTCACTGCTTCTAGATCCTAAAATAATTACAGGATAAGCCTAGTCTAGCCTGAATCTTGTCTACACCATGGCTGTCCCCCCCCCCCCCCCGCCAGTGCCACCTCACTGGTTCTTCCTCTTTGGTTTCTATATTCATTTCTCAAGGGCTACAAACTACTGTGAACTGCTTCCTCTTACAAACTCAGCAAGCTCCCACTCTCCCTTAATTCCCCCTTATTCTTCCTTCTTTACAGTCTTTATAGGTCAACAGGCCATTAAGGCAGACAAAAAACTACAAAACCCACTTAAAAATGAAGAGGTGTAAGTGTTTATATAAGAAAAGAGCATATGACCAATTGGTAACCACCAAGACAACTCTGAGCATCCCTGTTGACTGTTAGGATCTACCCAAAAGGTAAAATCCCATGGGGCTGCCCAGGTTGCAGAGAGATCAGATGGGTGATGACCAGGCAACAAGAGCATATAGCTGGCATTGTGCCATCATCGCCCCTCGCTCTAACTGCGAAGACGGCCAGGAGGGTGCGATTATGAACAAGAGACAACAGGAAGCCTGATGATTCAGTCAGATGGAGAAGTGCCCATAGCTAAAAGGATAAAAAAGACAATGTATATTTGGAACTAAGGGGCTCATTTGGGAGTAACAACAAGACTATATTGGGGGAAATTTCTTAGATGATGGCAAATATATCTCCTTTACATTTCTATATTTTACCAAAATTATGCGTGTAAAGTGGTAGAAAGCCTCTGTAATTTTATGCTTCCTCTAAAACTAATAGGTATGTTTTGATTTCCCATGATATCTAAGATACTGTGCTAGGTGCCCTGGTTGCAGGGGTGGAGGTGGAGGGGGGAGGGAGTCACTATGATACCTACTTTGAAGGGAACTGTGGTCACAGCTTTCAGGTGGTCACACCTTCTCTACTGGACAATAAAACTATGGACAGAGTGAGGCTGGGAGTAGAAGAGATGGTGGAATGGTACCTGAGGATTCCTTTCCCCAGAAAAGAGAATACTGGGAAATCATCAAAACTCCTAGCCTCTATGTGGATGAATGATTGAGAAGACTTTATTTAAGGTCTCACCTGTATAAATCAATATCCCCGAGAGGTACCCCATTAAAAACCTCCCTATTCTGTGCACACTCACTATACGCAGCCAAAGGTACTTGAAATGCTGATCTCAACTTTAGTGAGAATCCCCTGGGCTTTCCAAGCCAGGGAGCGGGGGAAGTAGAGCCCCTCCCACAGAGCAGCAGTGCAGGAAGAAACAAGTCATCACCCGCAGGAGCCAAAGGAACCCAACAAAACACCCTTGTCAGGCCTCCCCTTAAACTGCACAAGAGCCAACCCCAGGAATGTGGCACTTCAGTGCAGGAGAAGAAGATGAGTGGGCGGTACCTGGGACAGACAAAGCCGCTCTGTGCACGCTGGGTGCCTTCCTGCCCTGGCGACCTCCCACACGGGCAGGATGGGCCTAGTAAAGTGAGACCGGATTCTGTCATCACACTCTAGTCCTGTTACTAATCAGAGCCTCTCACCACCCTGAGTTTCCAAGACCTGTGAGAGCATTTTAACCTAGGGTTGTGGGTATTTGGTTGGACAAGGACAGAGGCTAGGTTCAAGCTTGATCCCACACCTCCACGTAAGGTCACCTATGGCAGGTATCCCAGTAAAGCCTCATTCAAGAAGATAATACAATGATGACAACTATAGAGGAAAAAGGGGCATTACTTCTATGATTACCACTTAACATTTGCATGTTTTTTAAGTTGAAATTTAAGTATGTTATAGACATTTTAAAAAAATGATAAAAAAAAAATCCATACAGATCTCAGTGGGGGTTGGAGGGACAGGGGGAGATTAGCCAAAGAACATATATGCATAATCCATGGACACAGACAACAGCATGGGGAAGGCCTGGGGTTGGGCGGGGCTGGGTAGAGGGGGGCAAAAAGGGAGAAAATGAGAGACATCTGTAATATTGTCAACAATAAATAAAATAAAAATTATCCACCTACAGTAATAAAAGACAAAGATGCTAACTGACTGTACCTTCGCTACACCCACCAGTCAATCAGAAGAGTATGCAAATTAACCCAACAAAGATGGCTGTTAAATTTGCATACTGCAGGCAGGGTGGGGCAGCGCCATCCACCGCCTGCCCCAACCCCGGGATTGGGCCTGCCGTGTGCACGACCCGGGGTGGCCGGGCAGGCACCGCGGGATTGGGCCTGCCATCTGCCACCCGGGGAGCGGGCTTAAGCCAGGAGGTGGTTATCTCCCGAGGGGTCCCAGACTGTGAGAGGGCACAGGTCAGGCTGAGGGACACTCCACCCCCCCGCACCAGTGCACAAATTCTTGTGCACCAGGCCTCTAGTTCTTTCATAATCTATTAATACAATCCTTTTTCACAGGTGTTCATTTCTATCCAGTATTTTCTTATGTGGGGTGTGGGGTGCACATTGTGTAAGTATCAGCACCCCTGTAGTAGCCAGCAGGGCCTTCACCAAGACTGGTTCACCTCCACCCATGCACATAGTCAGGTTATACTTCCCTTAAAGCTTGATATGGCCATGTGACTTGTTTTAACCAATGAGGTGTTAGTGAATATACATCATTTTTTATTCAAAGCCTTTAAGAGCTAGTGTGGGATTTGCCCCATTCCCTTCCCCGGGCCATGGCTGCCTGGCAACGTTCCAGATGGTAGAGGCCCATCACCTTGGGAGGCTGGGCCAGGGCAATACAGCACAGCCTCCCTCCAGACCCAATAAGCTCCCAGCAAGAAGAAACACACCTTTAGTATTTTAAGCCACTCAAAATTTTGGGTTGTTTGTTGGTACTGCATATTCTGTAGATGCAATCAGTTTATAGATGAAAACAGACTGTCAAGTGGCCAATTTATTTATCACTAGTGGTCCAGTGCATGAATTCGTGCACACTGAAAGGAAATTAACTAGGAGAAATATTTTAATACCACTATTCACCCTTTCTCTATAATAGAAGTGTCAACCAAATTCATGATTGACAATGACAGATGGAAACATACGTGTGTGATTGGCACCAGCGAGAGCTTTGTATGTATTGCCCATGCATGAGTCAACTTAGCCTTTTATAGATATAGAACAAACTTGCTTAATTAGAACTGCTTTCTAATTTAGCTAAACTTTTTCCAGCCCAGTGAAGCACCCCAACTTCTCTTTCAGGTAATTGTCAGCAACACAGCAGTAAATATCAACACGAAGCAGATTATTATTGTAGATCATGCAGGGAGAACAAAGAGTAAAATATTTAACTGCAGCAGTGTTTGACTATATTCTGTGCAGTGAGAAAACCTGAAGTCATTTTCAAGATCCACTACTTCTTACTTCTTTTCAGTTGAGTCAAGTTTCTAAACTTTCTAAACCTCTGTTTTCTGGCTAATGAAAAGAAAATAGGATTCCACGAG